TGGCCTAACTACTAAGCCACCACTTGCCACGTTACTGCAGGACTTTATTGTTAACTTAGTTTTAAAAAATGCTTACGTCTATATTTATAGATCCGAATGTTAACTGAAAGTTTCTTTGCTTTTATGTGGGAGCAATCCCACTTTAAGCATATTAACACCACCTAAAGGGCTGGACTGAGAAAAAATAATTCTTGTTTAATATGATGTGACCAAGATTGAGGTTAGAAATAGTGTTTTATTAAATTGCAATTATATTTGGAGCAGCAACTCCTGATTTATTTGTTTTTTTGGCTCACATTTAACATTCATACAATTGTCTCATTGTTTTCCTGTTAACAGCCATCCATGGGAGACGGTGACCAAGGCAGCAATGCAGAAGTACCCCAACCCCATGAACCCCAGTGTGTTTGGTGTTGACGTTCTGGACAGAAATGTGGATTCAGAAGGACGGTTACACAGCACCAGACTACTCAGCACAGAGTGGGGGCTTCCGGCCATGGCAAAATCAGTATGTCTACTGATCAAAAAGGCTTTTTGTTTTATTATTAAAAGAAAATTCAAACTCTTATGCTGTGCCTCAGGCTTGACGAGTGTCTTTGATTTCAGATTATTGGAATAACAAGAACCTGCACCTACGTTCAAGAGCATTCAGTCGTGGACCCCAACCAGAAAACCTTTGAGCTACAGTCAACAAATGTGAGTAAAACCAATAAAAAGAGTTAGACATGGGAAGGGTTTCTGGGTTCAAAGTTACTTAAGCAAATTAATCTGTTTTACCCAAAGTTAGGTTTGATAAGAGGGGACAAAAATAAAACTATAAATAGACGTAAACTTTTGCAATGTTTGCCCTTGGTGTTGTTTATAGCTTGACTTTGACTAAAGGGCTTTAGTTTTTGTTTGCTGTGGGTCAATTAAAACCTTCATCTGGCCTTTTCTGCCAGCAAGCTTCCTTTTCTACCCTGTCACATTTATCCCAAATGTAACCAGTGACCACTCCTAATTTATACATGATTATAGAAGTGGTTTTTTTTTCTCAGTTTTTAGCTTAAAATTGACTTTTTACGTTAAGTAGTTTGCTAAGTATGTAGATTTAAACAGAATAAAGATAAGTAACCAAATAAATTCAGGTAAGAAACATTCACTACACAGGTTTGAATTCCTTTGACATGAAAACGAACCGACACAAACCTGCATAGTCAGAAACTGGTGAAAGAGGGACGATATGTGTTTTTGTTGTTAGACGTTCTCAGGCTATGAGGAGGATGAGCAAACATTGCCAGTAAATTACACTTCCAGCTTCATCGGTTGTAAAAATCCATTTGCTCTTCATTTAAATGTGTTATTTAAAAGTTCTGGCTTTTATTTCTGCTTAGATCTCCTTCACCAACATGGTATCTGTGGATGAGAAGCTGACATACAAGCCCCACCCAGAAGACCCTGGAAAGTAAGTAATCCCAACTTCTCCTTTAGCTTGAAGCCAGGTGTATTCAGATCCTAAGAAGTGATGTCCTAGCCTCGTGAGACCATCCTGATCTCGCGAGTTTTCAAGGTTTCGCTCGCAGATCAGTCTGGTGACTCTCCGTTAAAGTTAATTTGGAGCCGTTCACCAAACGAACGTCCAATCAGCGTTGGCTCTGAGGCGGGTTGAGGTTTGACGCAACGAGAAGCGCGACAGTTCAGTCTAAAGAACATGGCGGCTTCAGCCGATGAAACTAGCGTTAACGTGGCAAACGAGCAAGTTTTATCGGAATTACAGAGTATTTCTTCACTGAAAGAAGAGCGAAACACTGCTCTCGAGGCTTTTCTCAGAGGTAAAGATGTTTTTGCTCTTCTCCCGACTGGTTTCGGCAAGAGAAGCCTGGCTTGTGGTTGTGTTTTCGTCGTCGCACTGTTCGTACATCATATATCGTTGATCTGATTGGTTTATTTGGCCCGTCTATCACCAACATAGGCCAATCAGCTAACCAGTATTTTCGCCCCTTCCCAAAATTACTTCAACGGAAGGTTTCCAGATGGATATGCGGAGCAAATCCATCTGGCGGAGTCAGGTTAGTGATGTCCTGCATGTTCAAGGTTCTCTCTGCATTGTTATGCCCTGAATTGTGTGTTAAAAGCAGAGAATCATCTTTTAAGGACACTGTCCTTTAAAGACTGGAGCTGAATTTCCCTTCTATAAGCACCAAATTGACCAAAATCTGTTTTTTTTTCTTCCAATTTTCCTTATGAAGGTTGTAAACTCCATAAAACTACAAACATAAATATTCATGTTCTTTCAATTACCTGCATTTGCTTTATTTTCTGCTTCTAGAACGGTGTTAACTCAGGAGGCGCTGATCAGTGTGAAGGGTGTCAGTCTGAGCAGCTATCTAGAGGGACTCATGGCTAAGACCATATCTGTAAATGCTAATAAGGTGAGTCTGTTTGTGTTTGTCCTTTTTCTATTCCACCAAAGCAAAGCTGACCTGATGCTTTTCTTACTTCTAATGTCTCAGTCTTTCCTTGTTTGTTAATTTTGTAAACTATCTTGTTTCAGGGTCGGGAGGCGATGGAGTGGGTGATCAGGCGGTTGAACACTGAGATCGAGGAGCTGGCAGCAACTGCGCGGGGCTCCATGCGTGTTCCAATGGCAGCAGCCGTTACAGAAAAATGACCCCAGCATTTCTTTTTATCATCTGCTTACTTCTGCACCACTGAAGGACAGACTCGGACATCTTCCCCTTTAAAGGGGTCCCTTGCCCTAACCTGCCAAACGACCTCAAACCTCGCAGCCCCTTCCTCTGGTCCCCAACATTTTTATATGTACTTTCCATAAGAACATCTGTTCTTCTCAGCAACTCTGCACTTTTTTTTTCCTCCAACTGTCTCTGTGGACATTTACAGGGAACACTAAGAGAGTTTAACAAACAAAAACAGGGTTTAAATGAGGCAGAACTTAAAGCTCTTAAGTCTCTAGTTCTGTAATGTAGACATGTTTTTCAAAATGATTCACGCTGTGCCTACAAGTCCACTCAGAATAGTCACTGTTTTCACCCCCTGGTCTGTCTTTAGCCTTTCATTGCTAGCTCAAACCTCCACAAAGAGGTGTAGCACATTTTTAGATAGTCTGGGCTGTCCTTGTGCTACAGAGATCCATCTTTTTCTAAATTCTACTAGAGCAGACAGGCTGTTAGTTACTGGAAGGTAAAAATCTCAACAGCGGTTCATTTTGTCAGGTTACGTTTCTCTAGTTTCTGTCTGAATTGGTTTCTAGTTGGGTTGTAGAGTTGGAGAGAAGGCAGATTTTCTATGTAGCTGTAGGAGCTAGACTTCTCTGACTGCAGATTTCCTCTAATTGCAGGGGCCCAAATTAAACCAACGCCCCATGAGCAGAACCTGTTATTGCACATAAGAGAAAGGCAGCTTTGAATTGCTAGGAGATTCTCCAGCTGATTAAAAATGTGATGCAGGCGCTGGTTTTTATCAGCAGTGTTGATCCATCTTCTCTCTCTGTGTTTTTCTGATCTATTTATGGAAAGTTTCAAATAGTGTGTTCTTCTCTTTTACAATGAGGCCAAGCTGTACGGTTTACATGTTAAACTTTAGGAATGTTCATACTTGAATATTTAACTTGTTTTCAGTATGTAAACATCAGGTGGAAGAATGTTGTTGAAGGGTACATGTTAGGAAATGGATGTGGAGTCGCGGTGTTCTGTTCATGCTCTAAAGTCGTCTGCATTGACTGTGCCAAAATCACTTCTAACGACACAACTATAACTTGTTTTATTTACCCTTTAACCTCCCTGTACGCTTCGACCGCTTCATCCTCCTGTGTGTTAATGTCAGTGTTATTTTATTTGTTGTGAAGACTGTTAAAATGCTCACGTCTCGAAGCCGTTGGTTTAGAGGTGTAAATAAAGGAAGGTCATGTTTTTATTAAGATTTACTTCCGACTGAATTTTGAGGTTAAGACGGTGGATGCATTGGAACCACCTAGATCTCTTCATGTTCTTCCCTCTTTGTCTCACCGTGGAAACTTGCATTTATAGAAATGAAAATCTGCATGCAAGAAGTTGAACAGGATCCAACCGTCCCTGTCAGTCTTTATCAAACTCATGCTGGTCTTTTTCACTCCCACCACTTTAAAATCTATAAATATTTAAATTAGTTTTCATTAAGCGTCATCCTCCTCTGAACACGCAGTGTCTTGTTTCATGAAGGAAGAACCTTTTTTTTTTTTTTATGGGGAACATTTTAACATTGGCTGTAAATAGACTCATATTTATATTTTCATGGTGCTACATTCCAAGAATGTTAACATGTACCAGAGACTATTGATTGAGCACTGAAAGCTTTCAAAATAAAGAGATGTCATGGTTTTATTTAGGCTGTGAAGTCTGTTTTTTAATTAACAAATCTTTTGTCTTAAAAAAAAAATATCAGCTTTAATGCAAGCGTAATAAAATCTTTATTTTTTTTTTTAAGTAAGCAACAAGTCCAGTGGATCATTGACCATCCTCCAGCATACTTTACAGGGGCATGAAGTATTTCCTCATAAACTAGACCTTTCATCTCTTGCCCAAACGATCAGTTGTAGTCTAATCTGACCAGAAAACATTTTACTTTGTAGTGATGATGGGGCAGAAAAAGAGAGCAGGCTTAGCAGATAAACAGATTTCTTAGTTCTGGAGACTTGGTGAACATTTTGATGTGGTTCCTACAGAAACCTTTGGAAGAAACCAGTATCTGCCTCATCCTCCTGCTCTGTGGTGACAAAGTTAAGAGTTCTCCAGCACATAAAGATTGAAGCCTCATGTAAGACTCTTGGTTCTGGAAAATAGGAAGTCATTGATTTGTTGTTAGCTGTGCAGCCACTCAAATCAACTTATAAAATTGATGCAGACATTTCAGTAAAATAACCTGTTTTATTCATAAGTGAAAATGAATCAGTCTGTCTATTGGCACAACTAGAGAATTGAAGAGTGGAGATGTTGAGAATTTTAATAAATCAGCAAGACACCATGTAGGACCTATATTAATATTTATTATTAAACAATTACAGACTTCAGGTCTTTGATCAGTTGTATTAATTACCAGATTTGTTAATAATTTGACATATTTATTAATGTGTTAATTCAGTATCTGATAGCAACTCTTGGAAAGATGTGGTTGAATCATTAAAAAGTGCTTTTATCTGGTGGAAAAACATTCGGATCAGTTCAATCTGGAGAAAATTTCATTATCAACCTAGAAAACAAAGAGTGATTTTGCATATTTGATGTTTAGGTGTAGTCGTTTCTGTCTGTTTGCAGAGTCTCCACATCTGAAAAAACGGCCACAAACCCCTGTATGGACAACAAACAATGATCATTAAGATAATTTCTATTGACATTCTAGTGACATTTCAAGGTTTTCTTCCATTAACAATTTACCTTGTCCATTTTCAGTACTGTGTTAACCAGCTGCACATACTTCATTCTCGGTAAAATGATGCCCTTACCCAGTATTACTGAAACAAAGGAGTAGATTTCAAGACACAAATACTTAGAGACCACTAATCTGCAGTGGTAACCGACACAAAGAAGGTGGTTATTTGAATTATATTTATAGTATTTACTAAATCTTAAAAGTTAAGGAAGTAGAAATCATTAATGATCATGTGCTCCAAAGAAATTAAACTGAAACCTACAGTTCACTTTCATCTGGGCAAGACGCACGGCTGTCTTCATTAAGGTCTCCAACGGATCAATCTGCAAACAAAAATGCACCGTTTTGCACCATAACCGACAAGTAATCTACTCGTAATTATGCACAGCTTACCTTAAAGTCTCCGATTTCAGAGGAGGCAAGGCTCAGGGTAATGCTAAAAGAGGGCAGTGTTGTTACTTTAACTGTGCTAAAAGAAAAGGATTCTATTCAAATTTGATGCATACTTATCCACTGCCATAGAGCCCATCAGCTTTCCTTTACCAATCATCATTTTAAAGGAGGCACTCAAATCCTTCAAGGTAAAAAAATTTAACAATAAGCCTATTTATCACTTTAGTTCACCTTATCATAAAGATTGTACAGAAGAACTCACAATGTTGAGTGTGAACAGTGGGACCTGAGTACCATTTGGTTCAATAGCAGAGGCCTTCACACTGGCTTTGACCCCCAGGGTCGTGACGCCGGGTTGGAAGGAAAACAGCGGAGCCTCCCGGGCATAAACATTCAGATTCATCATCAAACCTGGAAACATCTTAGGAAGCTGGACAGAGAGAGAGTTACAGATTTTTAGTTTGAAATATGATAGAATACTTCAAGCTGTTTAAGGGAGATCAAATTCATTGAAGCTCTTATTTATATCATCACAGTAGTGGTGTATTATTATGGGATGCCAGCCTCTGTAAAGCTAACTGTATCGCAAAAAAGTCTTTGTATGTCAAAAAATACTTTTACATATTTTGAGAGCTTAGTTAGGTTCTAAAATGTCTTGTTTAGGTGTGTCGACACATAATACTCCTAAAGTGTCCAAAATGTTTAAAATGTAAATTATATTCAAACATTAATAATGAGCAAAGTACTGTCATTGTGAAGTTTGCAATATTTCTTATCCTCCACAGGAACCTTAGATCTCCTGCTTATTTTTTCTTATTGCTTCTTAATTTCTCCACAAATTTTCAAAATATTGTTACAAAAACTTAACATTGTTAGGATTTCCTGAAGCTGTTCTTCCTCATGTTCTCTAATAAACATCTGAGACCATCAGTGAACACTTTAATTCATATATAGGTTAGATCAAAAGTGGGCAGACTTTGTTTATTAATTGGATAGATTATGAGCACAGGTGGCTAAATTAGATTACTTTCACGTTCACAGAAATAAAGAAGGCAAAATAAAAATGCACACCAGTTTTTTGTTGTGGAAAGTTTTTAAAAGCTATTTATATTTCTCTCTGCAATTTACTTTATTGAGCTGCAACATTAATCTTTAGAAGGAGACACGTCTTTGTCAATATCATAGTTGGTGAAATAAATCACAGCTTTGGTCGTTGTGACTGTGTCACCTGCAGCTTAATTATGTTGAAATACACAATGTAATGATTGCATATGAAAATACGTCTCACTCAGAAGGGATAAACCTACCTGAGGAATTAAATTTCCCATTGAGGAGGTATTCAGGTGGAAAGGAATACCAGGAGGTATCTGAAAACATGAAATGTTTTTTTGTAACAGAAAAACGATAATTAAAGAGATAATTGAATAAAAATGCATCAAATTTCTTCTGCTTTTTCTTTGCGGATGCACAGACCATGCTGTCGTTAATGAGGACATGAAGCTCTCCAGCTGAGAAGTATCCATAGGAGGCCGAGTTCAGAGTGAACTCAGACATTCCCACTGACAGCATATAGCCTGCCTGTGCAGGGAGGATGAACTTCTGGGGCTCAAAGGGAGGCTCTTTGTGAGTTTTGATGCTGTAGAACTCCCCCTTTGACATAAAAGATCATACGTTTGTCATAAAATATGGTTTAATGGTCAATCTGCCCCAAAGATTGGGTTTGATGCTCTGCTGTATAACATTACCTTGAATCCTAACTGCAGGTTTGAGGCACCAATGACAGGTAGACCAGAGAGAGGGACGTCAAGACTGAGAACCTCATTCACATTATAGGAAACTGAGACGACATACATTACTTATGTTGAAATTCCATATAAATATAATTTCATCACATTTTCTGGAACTTTTTTATGATGTTCATTACCATTCATGGTCAGTAGATGGAGGTCTAACTCCATTATGGCTGTCCTAACCGCAGGACAGATCTGATGAGAAGAAAAAAAATAATCCCATAATCAGTATTAACTTCAGCACATGACAGTGTTCTTTGGTCAAGTAATATGAATTGATGAATATATAAATTATGTAATCATGGTGTGCTGAAATACATACGGCCTCTTGTATTTTCCTAAGTATATGTCCCTTGAAATACTTGATAAATGGCTTAAAAATAATACTGCAGACACAGAAAGGAAGAGGTTTTATATCCAGGCATGGTTGTGAGTTAGATAAATCCTTCCATGTTTTTTTTTTGTTTTTACAGTACCTAGCTCCACCGTAGAAATTGAGGATCACGTCACCGACTGAAGCATCACAGCCGATGCTGGTGGCAAACAGATGCCCCTTAGCATCATTTCTCAGTTTCACATAAGAGATCAGACCAATGTTGAATATAGCCATGTCGAATGATCCACCGTCATGTCTGGGGATCCAACAGAAGGAGATTAGAAATGTTGATCAAAATTTCACCTATGGACAGAGGTCTGTTGGCATACTGGTGCTGTTTTTATGAAATAACCTGTATTTGCTTTGTTGTATTTATTGCACTCTACCTTGAACACACCATCTACATGCTTCAGCATGTTGATTGGAGTTTTTTTTTTTTTTTTCCCAATAAAGGCATTGCTTTAAGGCCAAAATGTTTAATTTTGGTTTCTCCTGACCAGAACAGCTTCTTCCTTATCAGCTGTGTCAGCTACATAGATATTGGAATCAGCTACGTGACTTTTTATGGCTTTCTGTCATCACTGGGCCAAACTCGTGGAGTCTCAGGTTCTCCAATGCGGGCTTTCCAGCTTCTTTACTGAGACATGATCATCACGCACATATTCATGCTTTAAAGAGTAGTTTGGCTTTCATGTCTTCTCGTAGGAGGAAGTTCATGCATGCATAATTCAATTAAAAATGTACTATGTGTGTGTAGTGGTATTTTGTTAACTAAAAAAAATTGCATTTTATCGATCTTACAATGGAGAAATGAACTCTCTTCATTTAACGCATTCCCTTTTGGGAGCAGTAGGCTGCCATTGTGCAGCACCCAGGGGTGGCCAGTCTGTAAGGCTGGGTTGAACTTTATTTTCTATTTGAATTTTAGCTATTCAGCATGACTTGAAATATTGATGTGAAAAAGAGGAAGTGACAGAAATCACAAGGTTCTCTTTATTTATAAGTTGATGTGCAGAAACAAAACTTGAAAAAATTCCCCGACTGTTTTGATTGTAAACAAGTGAACCCGCCTAAGCTCTGAAGAAAAGTCTTGACCTGAATGAGAACCTGCCTAACTGAACACACAGCGTGTAAATCTCTCTTAGAAAGTCATTCTACCCCATCTAAAAAGCAGTTAAACAGCTCTTAGGGAGGAGGGGTAACTTGTGCTCTTATTAAAATTGAATGCAAAAAAAAAAAGAGAAGAAGACTCACATTACACCAAACCGTGTGCTCCATTCACCACTAGCAGCAAAACTGAGACCAGTGATGGATGTATTCAAGCCTATACTTTTGAAGAACTCAACATTAGGCTCTGGAAGGTCACACTTTTTAATAGTCACACTAAAAGGGAGAGAATAAGGTGTGCATTTTCAGTCAAACAGGCCAATAAAATAAGGTGCAGATGAAATATGTGAAAACCAAAAGCTGTTTAAAAAAAAAAAAAACTATGATCGACAATCAAGGTAGAAGAAATGCTCATCAACTGTTATAAACATGATCCTACCCTGATAATGTGTAGTGTACGTCTCCAATAAAGATGTTAACACTACCGCTGATGTCAGGGAGGGTTATTTGTTTCAACTTGTCTTGAACCCATCCAGTTCCCACGTGTTTACCTGCAAATGCAAGCATAGCAGAGCCGGATGTGCATCCATACCAGGTTTTCAAGTCATCATCTGTCCGTCTATAAAAGGATTGCTCAAGTCCAGTCCTCAAGAGCTACTATCCTGCAACGTTTTAATGCATCCCATTTTTAACACACCTGAATCAAATGAGTGGCTCGTTACCATGCCACTGCTGGGCTAAATGAGAGGATTGAGCCTTTCGATTCAGGTGTGTTACAGAAGAGATGCCTCTAAAAGTTACGGGATGGTAGCTCTTGAGGACTGGACTTGAGCAATCCTTGTCTATAGCTTTCGGTTTAAGAAAGGCATCCCATAGCATGATGCTGCCACCACTTTGTGTAAAAGTAGGCATGAGGTTTTCAGTGAGACATACACCATAGTGGTAGTTGTTCACCATAAACAGCATAAGGGTGATGAAGGTTGTCACGTTACACACATAATGCATCTAATGTGTATCATGTTAGATGCATCATGCAAAAGAATTAAGCTTTGGCTCATGCTAGGAGTTGGAAGCTCCCCATTAAAAATTAAATAAATTTGGGCCGCATACAGCTATGGAAAGGCTTACAGACACACATCCCCTTACCATACTGTAGCCCCTTGTTTGTCAGGATGACTTGCACGGCAGGATTCTCTCCCCAGGAGCACGGCATGAGCATGAGGAATACAGTCACAGAGAGAAGCATCTTTTCCAAGATTGTCTTACCTTCAAAATGAAAGCACAAAATGAGTTTAAACAATGACTAAAACCTTTAGATTATTTTTAAAGCTTCTTAAAAATTCCCCCAAAAATGACATTAAAAGCATACCTGAAACAAGGAACAGATAGCAGATGAAAAAGCTCTGAAGAAAAGGCTCGACCTGAATGAGAACTTATCTTTTTGCCTGGACTGTTTCTAAAGAGAGCAAAGAGATGCGACTCCTGATTCCTGTACTGTACTGCAGAGAAGTGAAACTGGCTGACATCTAATAGCAACAGATATAAGTGTCTGTAAGTGGAAAGAGGAACTGAAAGTAGTTTCTAAAGGGGGGCAGTTCATTTTACACAGGACCACCTCTGCATGAAGCTTAACACAAATAAATACAATCAGCCTATTGTTTTACCGCAGTTTAGGACAGTTTGTTTAACAGTAACCGTGAAAGATTCTTAAATCATCCTCAAAATTCAAAATGTTATCCTTCCTGACTTAAAATATCAGTGGCATTGCGATTAGGCTGGCTAAGCATTTGTTTCATTCAAATGTGTAGAAACATTAGAACATTGGAAAGTCAGAAACGAAACACACTACAAAAAAAGGAAGCTTAACTAACCCAAAGAGGAATTTCAGAATAGTTCTGCAAAAATCAAAAATTATTCTAAGGAAAGAACAATTAGAGCCACCAGCCATAAAATATTGGGTTTATTTATCTGTTAAGTCAACCAATACTCTTTATCTCACACACCATGATAAGTTCCATTAATTCACAATGAACACGTTCAATAGGAACAGAATATTATCAGACACATTTTTTTATTTGTTTTATGTAAGACAATTAGGATCCACTTGCTTGCACTTGAATTCACTCCATCCAAAATGACACTTAAAAACACAGAGGAAACAAACAAGTACTTCAACCGGCATTAGAACGTTAAATAAAAAAAAAGAAACTACAAATCCCAACAGAGAAGTATTCTCTCTGTTCAGACCACTACACAGAAGATATTCATGGTTTATAGAGCACCATCTGATCTGATGGCTGCCTGGTGTTTTCTCTGGTTATTGATACCTATGGCAGTTAAAAAAAAAAAAAAACAACAATAACATATTAATTTCATTGTTTTCCATATATTTCATTCCTCAGATTAAACACATACACACACTGACATGTTTCACTGAATCTTTGCATAAAGATATACACAAGGACAGAGTTTTTAATGCCCTCTTCAGGTGCGGAGAATGTTTCTCCTCAGTCCACTGAATAACACACTTTTCCTGGAATGAGCAAACTACTTTACACAGCACTGATAAGGTATAACATTATGACCACCTGGACCCCTGAATGTGAGCTGTAGTATCTCCATATAGTCGCAGTTTGGAGGTCTCTATGGTATAGATGAAGGGACCTAAAGCTTTTAAGTATGAAATTGTCTAAAACAACACACTGTTTGTGAAATTAGTCTTTTTTATTGCATCAGACTTATCAAACTGTGGTATGAGCACAACTGATGGTAAGGCTTTAGAGCATTTTAGCATTAACTGATAGTAAATTAAATACCTAGAAAAATTTTAATGCCAAGCTTATAAATCCAAACAATAGTAATAGCTCAATGATCTTTGCCTTCCAGAGGAATCAGACAATGATTGTTAGGGGAAAAGTGCAAGTTACTCCACCTACATTGATGATGTTTAATTTCCATCTGAAGTCAGAATTCAGTGTGAGGAAAAACAACAAACCCAAGTTAGCTATATTAGGGTTTCAAGAAAATCACTAGAATCTGCTAATCGTAGTTAGCGCCAGGGAGCGTTATGACAGATCCTTCCTCCCAGCAGCTGTAAGACTATGACCACCAATGTTCCCAATAACTCAATAAGTTGTTACAGTTATGCTGATTTTTGCACGCTTTCTATCTTAGTCAGTTATTTAACATGCGGCTGTCATTTTGCACGTCTCTGATGTTGCTGCTATTTTCAAATATCCATTACTGTAAAAATCTCCTTTGTATTGGTTATTTATTCTCCAGGTGCACAGATTTATATTGTTAAAACACTTAACAGTAGATTATTTTATTGTTTATCTTATAACTCTTCAGTATTATGGTATTCTTAAACATTTTTCTAAGGTCCATATTTGTGTGACCATTTTTTTCTATAATCTTTTTGCTGCTGTAAACAGCAGATTTTCCCCATTGTGGGACAAGAAAGGAATTTTCTATTCTATTCTATTCTATTCTATTCTATTCTATTCTATTCTATTCTATAGCCAGCCTTGCCACTTGAAATTACCAACACAGACTAAGATCCTATGTTCCTTCATGACAGGCATTAAATCCCTAAAGGAAAATGTTATAAAAAGGTGGAATAGTCCTTTACTTGCAGATAATATCAAATGACACACAGGCTGTCAGGGATGTTCATAAAGAAATTATTATCACACCATTATTCCTGTTTGAAACACTTGGCAGCCATGTTGGATTTTGAGTCAGTTTTATTTTTGGCACAATGTTAATTTTTTTTTAAACATTTACTTTTCCTGTAGTGATTTGTTAAAAAACTAGTGTGAGTGTGAGAACCAGTGCAAACTGGTACAAAGTCTCCCATTGCTAGGCTTCAAACTTTTCTGTCCAGCAGATATAAAAGAAATTAAGATTTGTCAAACCAGCCGACCTTCTTCCACTGCTCTGTGGCCCAGTTCTGATTGGGTATACAACATAGAGTAACTAGCTTACCTTTTTCATCAATCTGATATACATGGGACTCATCTGTTTAACCCTCTGGCAACAATCAGTATGGACGATATGAAAAACTGGAACTGAAGGTGGGAAACGCCCCACAAGAGCTGCAGTTAAGTTTTAATCCACTTGCCTTTGTCAAACTTGCTCAGATTCCAACGCTTCCTCATTTTACAAATTTTAAACCCATTTCATGTTCACTCAAAAAATATCCCATCTACCACTAAATTACCTCTCAGTGGTCATAATGTTGTGCCTAATCGTTGGATAGAGTTCATTATTGCACATTATCACTAAGGCAAACATAAAAAGATATACATTTCACACAAATTATTCTCCATTTTAATGTCAGATGGTCAATGAGGCTCTCAGTCATGGATGTCGTACTTGTAGGCCTCTATGAGGCCTTCGATGGAGTGGATAAAGCCTGATATGGCACATATGCCCCCGATAACAAAAATGGAAACATCAAAGAAAACGTGGTGCCACAGGAGGTTTCTCCACTGGAGCTTTAGGTGGAAGAGGCTCGGTAAGAGGAAGCACAGGCCTGCACCGGTCAAGCTTCCAGTTAGACCCATCAGCAGGGCAAAATGGGGGACAAAGACAGCCATGAGCAGGGTAAAGACAACCAGGCCTACTCTTAAGCCAAGACCCCAGGTTTTTAGCTGCCCACCGGGGCCGTAGCAGTCAGGAAAGAGGGCCCTGCCACCATCTTGGAACATTGACTTCTCCAGAACTTCTACAGCTGCAAAGAATGGCAGAGGGTAGGACAGGAGCGCCTTGGCCACAAGGAAGAGGTTGACCACAGCCCGGATGGTGGAGGGTAGATTATCTGTGATGACCTCTTTGGTGGCGTCTGCCCAGGTTAGGTAGGCCACCAGGGCGAAGAGGCCCTTAAGGACACAGGCTGAAATGTGGGTCCAATCCATCATGCAGTGGAACTCACTGGGCTTCTGCATGTTCCCCTCCAGGGAGGGAAGAAAGATCTGAGATGTGTAGCTGAACACAATGATGCCGATGGAAATAGGGAATTTCTTCACATCGATGTAGAACTTGACCTTCTCCCACGCCCACTCGCGCGCCCTGGACAGACAGTAGGCGATCACGAGGATGTTGATGACGAAGTGCGCCAGCGTGCACAGCAGGCTGAACTTGGAGACCGCCTTGAGGTTCTTCAGGAACGCGCAGGGAAGCAGCGCCGCCGTGGCCAGCACCGACCAGGCCTTCTGGGAGACGGGGAAGCTGGGGAAGCTGTTGTACATCAGGTTCCCGCTGACCACCACGTACAGGATACACGTCATGACCAGCTCGATGATCTGGGCCACGTTCACAACGTGGCCGCCCAGCGCGGGGAAGCGGGGAGCGCAGCAGGCGTTGGCGATGTCCACGTAGGAGTCTCTGACGCGCACCTTTATGCCGTCCTCGTTCTCCTCGTACAGGCAGGCGATGAGGATTTTGCCCGTGTAGCAGCACACCACCGCGGCGAAGATAATGAGGAAGAGGCCGAGGTATCCACCGTGGAGGATGGCGTACGGCAGGCCGAGGACGAACATGCCCTGCAGACAGAGGAGCGCAGCTTAGTGATAATAAACGAGGCCCAGATCGCAGTGACAGGCCGATCAGCGCAGGCATGCAGCGCTTTACTCACACAGCTCTCATCTTATATAAGAACATTCATCGGATGAGATTCAGAATAAAAATGCAAACTATGATGCTTTTCCTCGTGGATTTCCGCATCAACTTGAAATATGCAAACAGATTAAAAATGTTGGAATTTCAACATTTATTTGATTGTAATTAGAATTTGATTAAAAGCTCGATAAGCGAGCCTTGAGGCAATCGGTGTCAACCAGACCCCGCCTGAAGCTCCGCTGATAAAAAGATTTGAATAAATAAAGGGATGGAGCCCCTCAGAGCGGTGCATCCCCTCACAAGACACCAAAGCACCGTGAAATTGTCTGCATTTAATTAGGAAAAATAAAATAAAATCCAAACCAATAAAGTATTTTATTTTGCTTGCACCAACTTATTCCGAATCTTAATTTAGGATGCTTAATGTTTGGTAATATTTTAAAAACTGAAAAAATGTGAAGGTGACTTTTGTTCAGCAGCAGGCCTCATGCAGAAAATGCAGCGAGCGCATGTGGCCCTGAAGAGATTTTTATAGGGGGGTAAAAATATCCATCCTCATATGGATTGCGTTTAGCCCCAAAATAGAATGCCATTGGGTCTCTCAGTGTCACTTAAAATCATTATTATTATAACTATATAGTGTAAAATTAAATCCTGCTTTTTTTAATCAAAAAATGACAGGAGGAAAAAAAAGGGTTTGCAAAACATCTTGAAGAATAAAAAATTAAAAGGCTTACAGACAATTTAATTTGAAATACATTATGGTATTTATAATGAAGACCTTTCTTAAAGCTCTAATGCAAGTTGGTTTTGGTTATATTTTCATTTTCTGTGCATGTTAGCTACATTTAATATTACTAGATATTTTTTTCAACCAGCAAAGACTAAAATTGAGCACTATATTAATTATTTTTGAAGATAATTTATAATGTAGAACAGTTGTTCGTCTTTTTAATCTGCAGTGTCTCATGTGAAATGTTCATGGTCTATCTGATCAGCATGAGGCCTATATTCATTGGAATAAATAATGCTTGGTTCAACAACAACTAACATAAAAAAGACCTCCACAGTTTGTAAGGTCTTAAATTAATTTGGATTTTTATCTTGATGATAATTTAAAAGTTTTGCTGATCTATCCTCCCTCCTAAACAACAACAAACAAACGCCTGGCCTAATCATAAAGGAGCTCTGATTAAATATATTTATTTTTTCTATATACAAACAACCCATATTTTGTTTTGCGTGATCCCCTTTGTGTCACTGATGGGAAAGTGGGCTCCCACAGGCCGCTCGCTGTGCTTGTGCCTTGGGCTGGCTCTGAGCACATGGCATGTCCACATTCGGACATGGTGCTAGAAGTACCTGAATGGCATTGGTGACGTTCCATCCAGCTTCCCATGACGTGATTTTTGGTTTGTCCTCCTCCAGAGAGCCGCCGCTCTTCAGGGTGGACTGCCTCGGGCCGGTACCATCCCTCTGGTAGCGGGTGTCCCCCTCCAGCTCCCCCTCTCCCTCCATGTCTCCTCCTTCCTCTTCTTCCCCTCGAAGGACATCCATCTGCATCCCTTGCCTGTAGTCATAGTCCAGATCGTCGCACTCTGCGAAGCCCAGACCTTCCTCATCGGTGGCGGCCTGGAAGCCCAGCCGGGCGAATACCCCGCTGACCTTGGCCTGGGATTTGTTGGACACCGTGTGGGCCGCATTGGTCAGTTTATTGGAGATCTTGTGTCGTATTAAATGAGCCATTTCTATTTAAGATTTTGTTTTTCTTCACTTCAAAAAAACTGTCAGATTAGGCCCCCCAAAGCTCATGCAGGTGGAATGATTGATTGTTTTTGCTCCTATTTAAAAACCATGCCTGTTGGCTCTGGAATGTCGTCGCAGTTGCTGTTCTTTTCACAGAAAATCCTCATCCGCTTATTTTGGCTTTTTCAGCCATGTCACTCCACCAGAAAACAAACAAACAAAGAAAAAAACACCCTCCTTCATGAAGCACAAAGAAAACGGATCCCGAGTTGTCGTTAAAATCCCAATTTAATCGCAAATGTTCAGTTTAGAATCCAGTTAGTGGTGCTGTAGAGATGTTGTAGTCTCAGCATCAGCACCAGGGAGAGAGAGAGGGGGGCGCGAGGAGCGTGCACGTGCCCGCAAAGAGTGGCACAGCCCTCACGCTCCCGGACCGCGCGGGTGGCAGGAGAGAGACGCTTATTCCTTCGGCGAGAGTTTAACGACAGAGTGATCACGACCTAAAAAAAAAAAAAATCCGGGCTGTTAGAGGCGTGGCAGAGTTTCAGAATCCTCCCATGAAATGATGCATGAATAAAAACACCAAACATTTCACCTGCTGCCATACTGCGATCTAAAGGAATGGCGCCAGCTGTCACCAAGGAACACGATTCGTGGCTAAAGATGTAATTTACAAAGAAGGGGAAAATATCTCTTGAAATAATCTGAAACTATTTAATATATATATATATATATATATATATATATATATATATATATATATATATATATATATATATATATATATATATATATATATATATATATATATATATATATATATATATATATATATATATATATATATATATATATATATATATATTGCTGTCAGAATAATAACAACCATTCCTGTTAACTCCTTTAACCCGATCTGCCCGAGTATAAGGGAACCAAACGAAGCATTCACAGCTCGACACCCTATCATAAGGGCCGAAAATGTTATCACCCCTGTTCGCGTGAATGCCTAATAGACAACGTTTTGTGCAAAACAATATTTTCTAAATGCAAAGAAACCATATTTTACTCTAAATGTCTCTTTTTAACTGCTACTGAACAGGGAAGATAATCCATTAGGCATTAAAGGATCCTGGCTGTATTCATTTTAATAAGATGGGGTGAACTAATTAAATTCGAGACTCTCTCTGCATTTCATTCGATGATAATTTTCTATAGGCTCTATATGGACACAAATCGGACCTATTTAGATTGTAAAGGGATTAAATTTATACAATTTTCTAAATATTTCAATGCATAATTATTATTATTAGCCTGCTCTATATTCCTGTTCTTTAACAGTCCAGATGTTAACCCCTCAGGCTGGCAGAATGCAACTCGTTGCTGACATGATGAGCCTCTGCAGATGTGGAGCTCCAACAGCACCATGGACAGCTCCTCCATCAAAATACATAAATAAATAAAACAGATCTCAATCTTTTAACGCCCTGAAATTACTTATTGGTTATGGTCTTACGTAAGTTTTGTAGTTTGTGTTTTTTTTTTCTTTTTTTCTATTTATTTATTTTCTTTGTAGACTTGCCTATATATCTAAATGTGCGTAGACCAAAAGAAAAAAAAAATGACCAAGGAGGAATAGCGCTGTTTTTCCTCTACCTCACTCTAATCCCTGCAAATAGGAAGCACCTCGTCTTTGCCTCCCTAATCTGTCGTGACAGGGCTGAGCAAAAACTGTCATCCAGTCTTTTCAGTTGGCTTGCAGAAATGTGGCCTACTGTGGAAGCGAGCCTGGAAAAATAAGGGCTTGTCTTACACTCGTGATTTGGGAGAAAGAGAGAAAATATGCGTTTTTGTATATATACATATAATTATATATATATATATATATATATATATATATATATATATATATATATATATATATATATATATATATATATATATATATATATATATATATATATATATATATATATATATATATATATATATATATATATATATATATATATATATATATATATATATATATATATATATATATATATATATATAATTTATTTATTTATTTTTTTTTTTTTTTGTGTGTAAATATTTGCCCTAGATTGGAAAGGGGTGAAAGGCAAGCCAGTGCAGCAGGAGAAACACTGCAAGACAGAAGCACACCATGGGTAGAGGTCTAAATATAGCAGGCGGCCGGAGGACAGAGAAAGTTCCGCATCTTTTCATGCTTGGCTTGGGCTGCTCTGGCAGCTGCTGTTTGAGCTCATGTTTGGGTAGTTTGCGTGGGTCATCAGTGTGTTTGAGGAATGGAGCGTATGCGTTCACGGCTACGTGGGTGCGACGGCGGAGGAACCAGGGAGAATCCTGCAGGCGCTTTTCCCTCCCCCCCTGCATGACACGCAGAGTCCTCGGGCCCACTCTGCATGGGCAAGGAAATGTCACACAAATGCAAGCATGCAGGAAAAAAGAAAACACACACACACACACACACACACAAAACATGAAAATCAATCCTGAGATGAACACACAATTCTACAAAATGATAAAGCATTAAAAAGCGATAGGCTACCTCTGATAGTCAATGACAATGTAGCTCTGCTACAAAGATTTTCTTTTTTTTCTTTTTTTTTGACAAAGAACTTTAAGATTGGTTTGGTGAACAGGAGGATTAAATCCATGAAAAGAAGGAGTCCTCTCAGTGTGTGTATTAGGCGTGCAGAGGTTTGGTTGTGTATGTGTAGGTCTATAATGTGCAGAAGCTGACAGCCGTGCAGCACTGACTGGGAGCTATAATCTCTGATAGTTGCCATGGCCACTGTAATTGGACTGAATGTGTAAACGTTGAGATTTTTTTTTAATTTTTTTTTGGGTGGAGGGATTACCCATTTCTTCTTTGGTGTGAAAGCAAATCTTACCTAGAACAAAGGTTTACAAAAAAACATAAATATATATAATTATTTAACTACACACAACCCCCCCCCCCCCCCCCACCGCATATTTTCTCTATGTATTTTCCTTCCAAAACGCGACTGTAAGACAAGCCCTTAGTTTTCCCTGCTCCCTGCCACAGTAGGCCACATTTCTGCATGGTCTTTTTTTCATCAGGAAGCTTTCTGTGAAAGTAATACGGTAGAAATAAATATTTAAGTCAGTCCTAATTTTTAGTATTTTAGTTGAATTAAAGATTCAATCTGCTCAAAGGAAGGGTTAAAAAAAACCCAACTAAGATAAAAAAAACTTAAGAGGAAGAGTTTTTTTTTTAACAATACATTGAATAAAAAAGTAGAGCAATGAGAAAGGGTGGATTTAGGAGAAGGTGGACCCTTGGGCTAAATGTGTTTTTGTTGCTATTACATATCTGCTTTTTGTGCATGGAAAATGTAATAACTGATATCTGGCTGCACATAAACATCAGGGTTTCCTGATTACACCCACATGAAAATAGATGTTAAGATTATAAACATTGCATCATTTTATACAAATTCAGTAATCATTAGCCCTGTATGTAGAGAACAAAAAAAAAAAAAAAAATTAAAAGCTTTTCTTTGTAAAAAAAAATACAATGATTATAAAGTTAATATTGGTAAAGGCCATTTATTCGGTAATCTAAATCAGGGGCGAAAAACTCTCAGCTTCTTAGCCTGAGACTAGATTCTTTCCCCTCTCTAAAAAAATGTCTAAGAAGACATGATTTTTAGATATTGCTTTTTTTACTCACACATTGTCATAATTAAAGATAAGCTGTGGACTGAAACGTGTTAGGAAAATAATCCAAAATCCAAATAAGTAATACACTGCAGAAAATATTAGTAAACAAAAAGAACTGAGTTTTTAAAATATATTCACAGGTTAGATAAATTCAATAGAAGATTAATCTATTAAAACAAAAATAGATATGTTTTCATGTTTTTATTTTCAGTTTACATCATTCCAATCATTGCATTAATACATAGATCAGAACAGGTAAACAAACGTGGTGATTAGCTGTGATTTGTTGCTCTTCAGGATTGGGAACTGGCCAGAGCAGAGCTGATAGACAATCTATGTTTGGATGAATTGGTATTTGTAACCGTTTCTACAGAAAGAAGGAACGACCAGATGGAGTTTGCTGCTTATTTGTTGGTTTGCAAAAAGGCATTAAGCACATCTGCCTTAAAAGCTGCAAATTTTTCATGTTTTTGTTCAGATTCAAATACTCTTATACATGATAGCTTCTGATATCAGCTTCTTGTAGATCGAAGGCTCTGGCTTTAATGACTGTTTGCCTAATCGTTCTAGAATATTACACTGACCTTAATCTAATCTGAAAGTAAGGTCAGATGTGAACAATCTGTATCAAGTGCAACTGAACCCTTGATCTTTGTTGTAGAGCAGCATCTTATCAGCTGACATGAACATGTTTTCCCCCTCTTAACACATATTATCCCCTTGAAAAGTTTCTTTTTGAGTGTTTCTTTTTTATATCTTTTGATATGACATGAAATATGTCAGATATTCCACTCAAGTATGGAATAAAAAAAAAAAAAATCAGTCAGCTTCGTCTATTTTCATGTGTGTTACATATTTCTGCAGCACGAAGTAGAACTGGGTTTCAAATGAAAACACGTGTTAGGATCGCAGATTATCTTTAGTTTGCAAAGAAGTGAAAAAACCTGTTCTTTACTTCCTCTTCCTGTTTTCATTCACCTACTGTCATAGTGATGCACATAAACAGAACAAAGATAAGCCTGTCACTGCTCTGGAGAACGGGGGGGGTGGGGGTTCATGGTTGAATTTTATTTGACTTATCCTCTAAGCTCCAAATAGGGAGAAATGTATCCACTGCTTCAGATAATAACCCTTTTGATTGTTGTCTGTAGAAGTTAATTTGCTGTTGGTTGACTTCAATGTAATCATTTAATCAGTCGGATATTTTGATTATATTAATTGTTTCCATCAGTGAATGTAACAGATGTTTTTTTATGGGTTATTGAACTAAACCCCCAATAATATGCAATAAGTGTTGGGCAGATTGGTGAAAAGGAACAATAATATATATCATTGAGACTAAAAACATATCCCTGCAGGGGGCTGATTACAACAGCGTGTCAAATGTTACAGAGTTTTAACATGATTGCTCATCTGTTTCCCAAATATGGTGTATACATTTTGTTGATGTATATTTGATACGTTCTCTCACAAAAGTGTAAAAAAGAAAAAGAAAAAACAATGCACGTTTCCCTTTTTTGGAGGGGGGGGGGTGATAGTTTATTGAGGCGTGAGAATGAAGTACAGTCAAAGCAATAAAACATAGTGAGAATGGACAGAATAATTTAAGGCGATGAATAGATGATAAGAGTCGTGTCATCAGAAATAGGCGTGTGTGTCTCCTCCTCCTTGTGAGAGATAACCAGCAGTGTGCTCCACAAAATGGAGGCTGCCTGGCATCACGCGTGGCAATCCCCCAGTGCTTGTAGGCTGTTTGTTCCCTCTTGCTCCATCACCACTGC